AACGGAGCAAAAAGCAGCGATCACCTGTTTGAACTGCAAGTTAACCGAGTTCACTATAAAGTCCACGATATACGTAGTCCCCGATGTATGTGGACACAGTAAATCTGTATGAGCTATGAGAATAGCACATTTTAAATAGAGCATGCACAAGAGAAACAGACTGTGTGCACTCTTGCACATGCATTATTTTATAAATTTTTTTAAGTGGAGAGGGCAGGTCTTTTAAAAAAATCCTCCACAATACCTTTAAAGTTTGATCAAAGTGTGAAGAGACAAGTCTGTATACAGCCTCCTCTTCACCTGGCTTAAAAACGTATAAATAGATGACACAGAGTTTTCTATTCTTATCCACACTTCAAAACAGGGAAGATGGAAGAAGGTAAAGCAGATGTTTAATGATGTTAAAAGGTGACTAAAAAGTTTTGCATGCTGAGTGAAGATTAATTTATTCTATGTATTTAAGCAAATCTTTACCCAGAAACAGCAGTAAATATAGCGGCTGCTTCACTTATTGTGTGATGAAACATGAAAACACCTGAATCAACAACAGACCATCTGATCTTTTCAGTCACTTTTTGGCTGAAGTCTGGGAAACGCCGAGCTCTGCAGAGGTTCATCTGCTCACCAAGCGAGACACCTCGCCCAAATCTCCCCAGGACGAATGTGGGTGGATGGGACAGCTGCCTAGCACACTTTCTCAAACATTCTTATCCAAGTAGAAAGAAATTATTTCTGAGAAGAGACTGCAATTGTTGCCAGCTCCTTTTTTTCCTCCCCACATTTCCTTTGCATAAAAACAGGCGTGTTATGGATTCCACAGGTGGCTTCCGCTCGCTCCCACGGCCTTCGGTCAAATCAGGCCAAACTTTAGTTTCACTATAACTGGAGCCAGTTTTTTCTCTGTATGAGGACCAGTTTACATGTTAGATCCTAAGAAGCACAGCATATTTAAACTATAAAAACATATCAGGCAGATAAAACTCTATTGTTTTTTTTGATGTAGTCTCCTGAAAATCTGATTCGTGGCTCTCAGACTCTTTCCTTCCATTTGAATTTCAGTGAACACAACGACCTAACCATCCATTAACAGAAGCAGTTTCCTCTTTGCACTCTCCCTTTACATTTTCCAGGTTCTTGGTTTTTCGAGCTCCGTATTATGATGGGACAGAGAAGATGTTCTCCTCGCATGCCTCCTAAACAACTTATTGGCCTTCAGTAGCGATGCACCAATAATGCATGCGTGTATACATATTTACTCACATTTATATATGTACTCTTACACTAATGAACTAATGGTGTTTTGAATGAGTGAAGCATTAATAGTGGTGGCAGTAAGTGTCACTACCTGATCTGTCCTGGAAGCACAATCTGTCCATCCAGACATACAGTACATCTGGATCACCACTGACAGTAACCTTATAAAACAGTACTGAAAATAATGGAAGTATACTAAGCTATATTGTGGACTTTACTGACAGAATGGATGCTTATAAGTCCTTTCTGTGCCGGTGTAAATTCTCAGTCATTCACTCGGTCATGGCAACCACAAAACAGGTTTAAATTGGAAGGCAAATACAAATGCATTTCAACATGTTTCCAGGAGTCTTTTGTCCTCTCTTAAGTCATGACCACACATGCTCAGAGAGGTCCACTGTTTTTGTCCGTGTGTCTCTTACCTTGCTCTGTAGATTAAACATTATCAAATCAAGTCTGGGAATATATACCAAATAAAACAAAAACCGACTGTAGCCATATACAGTGCAGATATAAAAGCAGAAACATTGCAGCAGTATTAGCAGGCAGCAATTGCGGCGCAAGTGGGAGCTATGCTTAACAAGTGTGACTTTATGCAGCTAGACTGTTAAGAAGATACCAGAGTTATGAGGGGTACTTTCTTATGCAAGAAGGGGACAGAAGAAGAAGCCTCTAACTTGTTAACAGGGGAATCTCCTGGTTAGCTTAGCTTAGCATAGCTTAGTGTGTTAATGCGCGTTTTTTAAACATGGGTCGACATGCTAACATTTGGCTCCCTTCCCACTGGCAAATTAAAAGCTGGGTCTAACCGTTCGCTGGCAGCTGTGTGGCATTCGTCCCCCCCACTGCTGTGCATCTGCTTACACCATCATGCTGGACTACTTTTGATGGAGTCACCAGTGTGACAGAAACCAGGAAAGTAAACAATGGAGAGCAACATATAAGGAAGCCAGAGCCTAGTAAGTGTGTCTTTCGCTCATTTGTCCCTACGAATCAGTGTTGTTTGTCAACGATGACAAAATAATTTTGTTGCAGTCCTTTTTTTCATGATGATAACGAGAACTGACAAGCTAAAAATTGATCTCTGATGACGAAGATATTGGTCATGGTTGTGAGCTTTCGTTGACGGGATGAGACTAAATAAAAATGTTAGCAGGTGGTCTGTCAGACGTTTAAACCGCATCATAGTGCTGTAATCTGTCAGACAAGCTAAGCAGTATTAGCGTGCTGCTGCATCCTGTTTGGTCATGCCGCCAAACTGTCGTATAGCGGGGCACTTTCTGCATGACTACATGTACCACGGCAGCAGCGGTGGGGGATAAAAGTAATGTGAAATAGTCCGGTACTGCGTGCTTAACTCTGACGAATTCTGCTCTTCCGGCAGTGTTTATTGAATGTAAGCAGTATTGTTTTTGACTTGTTAGATCAGACAGGCTGGCGCGATGTGTTGACATCCGTATGCAGAACTCAACGGTGTCACGTAATTTAGCGGGTAAAACATGCCAATCAGAGCCGAGGCGGGTTGCGTCAGTGAGCCACTTTCTGCTGCCTATGAAAGCCGATTCTGGGTTCAGACGGGTTTTCAGCCAGTGGGAAAGTCTGCTTAGCAAATCTGGGGAGGTTTTTATGTAGTATTTTAACCAGAACTTAACAACAACTACCAGGATGTTATCACTTGTACTGATAATTGGGTTAGAAAAATCTGGCATCAATGTTATCCCAGCTTTTAGCTTACATCTGACGGTTGCCATGGAGACTGGGTCCAAGCCCACCAATCCCTGCTGCCATTCTACAAAGTGACTCTTTAAGCACCCTCAGACTGAGCTTGTTGATGAGATGAATAGGGCTCCTCATAACCTCCAGCTTAATTAGGCTTCCATGTCATATCTAATATTTACCCCCGGGAAACAGAAGGTTCTGTTCTACCGATCAGAGGTTCACAGAAACTCTGATCCCATAACTAGTGATATATAAACTGGCCTTGAGACAACCTTTATCAGAGTGGTAATTCTCCCACAAGGTTAGATTTCTGATCACATCGTCTGAGCCTCTGCTACTCGCTGTGCTTTGGAAAATGTGCATTTGTGTGTGACTGAAGGAGACGGAGACAAAAAGACTGAACAAGAATCTGGTTTCTGGCTTCTGTTCTGTATATTCCAGTGGAGGTTGCACATTCCTAAGAAAAGAGCACATGACTGGAGTGAGTGTGTGTGGTGGTGGTGATAGGGAAAACTATTGTTGAGCTAACTGGGACAGCTAACAGGCAATCTACATGCAATGTTTCCTTCCTCAGACTAAAGACCCGCAGCCACAAACAGAATGAGTTCTTTGACTAAATCCTTCTTAAACGCTTTAGGAACAGCAGGATATACAGTGAGGGCTGAACGTTACTGCTCAGATTCGCTGCAATACACTTCATCAGTACCTATCTAGGTCAACTGAGGCGCCCAGGAGGTATAATAATCCACAGACTGTAGGTCTACAGGGCTGCTGTTAGGGAACACTGCTACCGCTTTACTCTGGAGGAAACAGGAAGCTGCAGAGGAAGAGACCCCCCATCAAAGAGACTGAGGAGAGGTGGGGGCTTAGGGGAATGCCACGACAATCTCCTCAGATAGGCAACAAGGATTTCTCAAACTTAAACTGAACCTCCCTTCAAATCACTCAGGAATAAATGTTTCAATTCAAAAGGAGTCCTTAAAGGAATAAAATACACCCAAAACATGATTAGCTTTCATTTTCTACTCACCCCCATGCTGAACAACACTCTGGAGTACTTTTTTGATATCTCAAATGCATCTGGAGATCTGGGAAGCTTCTTGCTGTCTGCTGACATTCAAATAATGGAGGTCTATGGTGCCCGAGGCAGAAAGGTCCATAAAAGTCCACAAAAAACGTGTCAATATTCCTCCATACTGCTCGTCCAATGTATTCCAAGTGTCCTGAGTGGGTAGCGTCCATATTTTACTCGAAACAAAGTCATTTAAAATGTTTTTAGAGCATAAACAGTAGTGTATAGGATTTCCTAAAAGGGCGTTCACGAGTCTACGGAAACCGCGGCAGACCAAACCAGACAAAAATACGCATTCAGCTCGGCAAAGAACTCATGCTCTTCCTCAACACTGAAGTCCTCAGACATTTTTCTTTCGTTGTTTCTTTCTTTGCACAGGTAAACAGCACATTTCTTCTTCTACGCTTGCATTATCGGCAGACTAGACGCTGAATGCGCACTTTCTTCTGGTTTGGTCTGCCGCGGTTTCCGTAGACTCGTGAACGCGCTTTTAGGAAATCCTATACACTACTGTTTATGCTCTAAAAACATTTTAAATGACTTCGTTTCGAGTAAATTATGGACGCTACCCACTCAGGACACTTGGAATACATTGGACGAGCAGTATGGAGGAATATTGACACGTTTTTTGTGGACTTTTATGACCTTTCTGCCTCGGGCGCCATAGACCTCCATTATTTGAATGTCAGCAGACAGCAAGAAGCCTCCCAGATCTCCAGATGCATTTGAGATATCAAAAAAGTACTCCAGAGTGTTGTTCAGCATGGGGGTGAGTAGAAAATGAAGGCTAATCATGTTTTGAGTGTACTATTCCTTTAAACCTCTGAAGGCCAAATGTACCATCAGACAAAGAAAGGCCCTCTCTACTGTTAGGTAAGCTGAAAAAATACAGGAATGGTTGGTGATGAAACTTAGGGTGAGATATGTTGTGATGGTGCATTCAATGAAGAGTCACCTCTGCTAGTTTGTAAGGAACGATGAGCCTCTCCCCAACCGTCACAGTCTTCCTGGTTGTCAAGGCTTCAAGTAGCATTTCCTCTTTTACCTGGAAGAGAGATGACAATAGATTTTATTTGGGTTTTAGGAGCATAAAATGCTAATCAACTTTAATTACAGCTATAATTCTTTTTGTAAATCTTTCCTCCAGGTTTGCACCAGTGTTAATTTCATCAAACAGGACGATGAGGAAAATATTTTGTCAACGCCCCTTTTTCCCGTGAAACAAAGTTGTTTCCAGGAAAAAAAATATGACGAAAATAAAAAATGATTTTCGTTAACAAGATTAAGACCTGACTAAATTTACAAGTCATCGACGAACAGTGTGCACAGTGTTATATAAATGAAATAGAGAAAAAGTGAATCAGTGTGTGAAGAAGTTCTATTATTTACAGTGTTCACTAAAATGACAAAAATGACTAAAATTTGACTAAGACTAAAATTGATTTTCATCATTTAGACTGAGACTAAATTGAACAAAGCTGACGAAATTAACACTGGTTTGCACATTTAGAGGCAGGCACTGATTCCCTGTCTTCATTGCAAAATCTCTCTAGCATCTCTTAACGTTGCTGTTCCCATCATGTAATGGATCATAAATTTATTAAAGCGTAGGCTTTGACTGGGTCATTCTGACTGATGCACATGCTTTGCGTGATTTATTTGTATGTATTTTCCAAAAAAGTTTCATAGTTTAGGAGAGTTACACAATTATGAATGTGTTGTTTATTTTAGTGGACCGTATCCAAAAACATTATATATAATATCAGCCTATAAATTTGTTGCACCCCTCCATTTGAAGTGTGCTCCTTCTTCCCCATACCTAGGTATTAGGATACCCCTATCCCTACACATGAACACGTAAAAGGGGTAAGGCCAGGGGTAAGGTTAATGGGTGAAAGGAAATTCACCCTTATGGATATCTTTTAACCATGCCTTCCTAATACTCTTCCATAAAGGCTCAGTTTTTGTTGTGCTTAACTTATAAATATTAACCCATCTGAACAGAGCATCTCTGCAGCTCCCCAGAATCACCTTGAGCCCATTGGATGCTAATTCTGATAAATATTCTATTCTGCCCGGCTTGTACACAGGGGTGGATTTAGGAAATTTGGGGCCCTAGCCAAAGACAGGCTCTGAATTGAGAAGACGACACATAAAACAGACCCAAAAAGGCGACGGCCAAAGTAAATAACCCAGTCCTTCCTTTCACTGTAGACAAGCCATGATCTGCTTATCTGTTCTCCATTTTTCATTTGGATGAAATAATAGCTGCATGAATCATGACAGCAGACAAGATAGAGGAGAGCAGGAGGCGGGGTTACCAATCTACTTGTTCTGGAGAGCAGAGTTCGCTGCTTTTAGATGTTGTCTCCAAAGTCTCCAGTAGCAGAAAAAAGTCGCTAGATTTGGCGCTAGGCTCTTATATATTGAAAGTACCAGAGGGGTTAGAAAATTTGCTAAATTTTGCAACAAAAGCGCTCTGATGGCATTTTAGCCAAAGGATTTTTATCTGAAACATAATTAATGTGAACAAATAAGGAATAGTTGGATTAACCTACATGTAATCAGAGTTTTATGGGGTCCCCAGCAACTACAGTAGGGGCCCTAGGCAACTGCCTTATGGTCAACCCCCCCTGCTTGTACACTTATATTTCCAAATAATGCATTGAATATAACCTAACCCTGCTGCATAGTATTTTTTTTTCTAATCAAGAATTACCTTCCTCCCACTTTACAATTAACGGTCTAACAACCAACATACAGGACATCTTGTAATCCATTTTTTCGATGAGGCTTTTTTACCCCTTACATTTTGACAATGCTGTGAGAAAATAGGATGAGATATTTCTCTTCACTTTGATATAAAATGCGCGTGGCACCACTAAAGACGAGTCTTTCCCCATCAGTCAACAACTTGACCTTCACCTCTTTAACGCAGCTGACCGAGGTTAGCCTGTGAGCGCTGGTCTGTGCTCACAGGACAATTGAATGTGGCCTGTGGCAAACTTGGCCCCAGTTGAACCGCCGATGACGGGGGCAGCAGATGTCAGCACACATATCGCCTCTATCTGGAGGGATTATGGGAGCGAGCCAAACAGCAGCTGCTGCTGCTGCTGAGCCTCCACATGTTTGTGCGGACACATCTCAGAGGGAGCAACAACGTGACGTCTTCATAAAGAAAACGGGGCGTGTTTTTATTAGTTAACACACCAAGATGAGTGCATTGGTGAAAAGCTTTGAAATGAACAGAGGTGGATTGAGGACAGCTGGAGGAGTGTGTGTGCTGGGGGGGGGATCATTGGGGGTGGTATAATCAGACTTCATTTCACACTGCCTGATAATCCCTCTACGAGGAGCAAAGCCTATTCTGCCGCTCGCTGATTGGTCTTTACGTTTCCGTTTTATTTGTTGCTTGGTAACAGGCTAACCGCTCTGCCATCATCCCTGCTCTATTAGCTTAAACCTCAGGAGTTTTACCAGCGTTGGTTTGGAGAAGGGGGGTCAGTGGTTCTGCTCCAAGCGAATCCAAATTAGTTTGATGCCTTTGAATCAGATTTGATTGATTCATAGATGCTACATTCCACTGGTCTGGTTTTAGGTCTGCACTGAGAAACCTTTCGACCACCAGTCGACTTTAAACCTCAGATTTAATCTAACAGTCATCCATCAGCCCACAGGAGCCGATTTTCCTATATAGGAAACAGGAAATCCCAGTTGTTTGATTTACATCAATCCCTACCCTCTTAAAACGGCGTCTCCCATTATCTTTGCCCAGTAACACAAAGCTCCCTAATTCTCTTGAAACATTGAATAAGTTTTAAGTCTAAATTGCACCATCTCAGCACCCACAGAAAAGGGCATTTAGCAAAGTTCAGCCACTTGTGTCGCCCTTTAAAAGGCCCTCTTACGCAAAAAGCCCTAAAATAAACTCTTAATCCATCAATAAAACATTCTGGCTGCACTAAAAACCTCTATGTGCTTATCCAGAGTAAGGGTTGGGATGCACAATAAAAAACTCAATGCATTTTCGTTGTATTTTTTTTATCAGCATATGTCATTTAGTGATTTTATCAACTTAGCTGCCTATAATAAGTGTCTAATTAAATAAGTGGGAAAACAGAGAATCTAGGCACGGCCCTGTCATTCTTTTGATGAATTATTTTATTTAAAGAAAAAAAAAATCAGATGGGCATAATTTTCATTTCCTGATCCATTAACACAGAACTAAGCAGTATATGTTTTAAAATCATTTAAAATTTTCTTTACTGAACAATGAACAGGTTTTTTAACCATAAACATACCAAATGTACATTCTTACAATTTCTTTTAGAGTGAGACATCCATGTAATCTTGTGCAACAGAATTGATAAAACTACATTTTGCTTTGCCTTTTGAATCAGACATTAAAGCATTAAACATCCCTCTTAGTCACATGCAGTAAACGGCTCGATTACTGCGAGTCCATTCATGGTGTTTTTAGGTGTGTGTGTGTGTGTGTGTGTGTGAGTGTGTGGGGGGAAGGGGGGGGGGGTCTCCTGGCATGCTTTCCGCAGTCATAACATCCCTGCGGTGATGTTGATGGAAGTCTCCGGCACACTTGGGACGTTGTTTTGTTTATGACTAAACAAGCTCGTCCTGCAGTTCTCTGCCGTTTGTGGATGGTTCTGGGAGGCGGGTCTCCTGGTCCTAAGGTAAATGGGACTAGTGTGGGCTTCCCTCACATGCACGCTGGGGAGCCCCTGCATGTGTGCGTGCAGTCTGCCGCCACATGGACTCGTAAACAAAGCTCCGGCCAGGGCAGGAGCTGTTTTTTCCTTCCTGTGGACAGATAACGGGTCTGCAGCAGACTAAACCTACACAGCAGACTGATTAGCTCATGAAAAGCAGCTCCAAATGGCTCAGAAACCGAAAGCCACCCCTGCATGTTTGTGGTTCATGTTGCGAATATTAAAATAAAGAAAATAGACAAAGAGACATTATAATATGCAAGGAAGTGGATAAATAAGGAACAGAAAAAAGGGGCAGACCTCAGACTTCTTCTTAGAACCAGCAGAAGAATTTCAGCCTTTTAATAGCTGAAACAGTTTTTCATTTTTATATTTTCTAATCATAATTTTTTTTACTTTAGTCAAGAGCCAAAAGTCTCCAGTAACAGAAAAAAAGCTGCTAGATTTTGCACCAGACGCCTTTTATGAAATAAAAGTGTAAGTTGGTAACACTGCTCTTTGATTTTGATTTTGCACCACATTGTATTGGTTCATCTCGTTAAATAAAAATAAGAAATATCAGCTGTGCTGCTGCCATCAACACCTTGTTTCTAGATGTTGGAGCTTGGCCTGTTTTTCAGTGTAGTCCTGTTTCTCTGACTGTGACTAACTGGATGTGCTCTCTTCATCCTCTGACATGGGAGCTGGCTCGGAGCTTGTCTGCCTGGCTGCGTGTTTCCTGGATGGGGCCGCCTGTGGAGCTGGTTGACAGTCGCCTTTTGCTTCTTTTTCTATGTCTGCTTCTCTCTCCTTGAACCATAGTCGGCCTCAGCAGATGGCCGCTCACACTGAGTCTGGTTCTGATGGAGGTTTCTTTCTGTTAATTGGAAGTTTTCCCTCTCCACTGTCGCTACAAGCATGCTTGGTGTGAGGGATTGCTGTAGAGTCAACGACAAAATCTACTGTTGACAGATGCTCACCTGAGGGGAGTAGATGCTACAAAGCCAATGACTGGATGTAATCATCTGCTTCAGTTTATTGAACCATTAATCTGATCGTATGGTCAGACTGAATTGTTACTGTACCTGCCTTGAGACGACATGTTGTGAATTGGTGTCATATAGATAAACTAATTTAATTGCAGCTGAAGCATCTCCTAATCTCTGCCCTCAACAGAAACTCTGAACATCCTTTCTTGATCCAATACAGAATATAAAAGCACTTTGGAGCAGCGTTCAAAGTAGTCCAGCAGGGCAGAGGTTAAACCCCAATGGTGTAGAGTTTCTGAAACAGCCTTTTCTAGAGAACATGAAGTTTTCGCTGATCCGTCTGGATTCTGGGCTTACCTCCAACAGCTCTGAGACGATGGGCAGCCCCTCTGGGTTACAGATGTCGATGGAGTCATCCCTGTAGGTTTTCTTCTTGTAGCGGATGTTCCCCAGGTGCAGGATGGCAGACAGCAGGGAGAAAATCCTGGAGAAAAAAAAAGGTTTGGTTATCGCTTTCACATGCAGATCCTTCCCAGCAACCCATCTGCTGAGTGAACAGTTTGAGTCAGGGGAAGGCCATAAATAAAAAGAAACGGAGCTGATAAAGCTCAGAGGAGGTTCACAGGTTGATTTAATTTTCCAACAGGCTGCGGGGTTACGGTTATGCTTCATCTCTGTCTGGGCTGTCTTACTGTTTGCGTGTGGCGGGTAGGAATCCCACCATCTCCATGGCCAGCTGTAGACGCTCGAAGTCATGCTTCAGGTCCTCCCCCTCCACAGTAAAACAGTCGTGCTGGTGTCAGAAGCAAACATGCAGAGACAGAAGAGCAGAGACCAAAAAAAAAAAATCAGCGCAGGTAGTATCAGAAAAATCAACCTGATTTCACATTTATGGCACATCAGCAATGAATGGATCAAAGCGCGTTAGACTGACAGCATGCGGCTCAACCAGCATGTCACAATGTCAAGCAAAACATATTTCCATGGTTTATTTCTGCAGAGGAGCAGCAGGCCACAGCAGCACTAAGGGGGAAACCTGGATGCCGAACATGAGTACATTCCTGGGCAATCATGAGACTCTGATATCAGGCAGTCTTTGTTTCCAAGGTTGAGATGGAGGATCTCTGCAATCACTCAGACCCTAACTAATGATGTCTGAGGAGTCCAGCGATCCAGGAAGTGCCTCCTCGGAAGCTGCTCGGTCAGCCTTCTCTCTGCTCCCAACAGCCAGCTGTAATTAGCACATACCACAGCGAGCGGCCTGCGAAGGAAGACAGAGGAACCTATAATCCACAAGTTTCTACACTCCTCTCCATTGTTTCCTCTGGCCAGTAACGACTCAGGGAACTTCGCTGCTTAGCTTCTCCGATTGCAGCAAAGCGCCACAGAGGTTTCTGGTGGAACGGCAAGACCCGCGAAAGACGAGTTTTATGGCCGCCGGTTATTTTCGACCTCAAGCCCCCCCAAAAAGCTGCACAATTTGATACACTGATGGAAGTGGAGGAAATACAGAGATCAGCTTTGGCAGCCTCAAGGGATTGCTTTGGTTGAAAACCAAAACTTCGGCTATTTGGGGTTTAGAAAAAAATAAGTCAGGGGAGATCTTTGAGTTTAGCAAAGAAGATTATTGAGACAGAATAACATTTCTCAGGTCGCTTATTAACAGAGTGATCAGATCCACATCTGCTGTGCCTCGCGACAGTATTCACACCCCCTGAACTTTTAACACCTCCAGATACAAGGATGCACTTTAGACTGGGATATAACTAAACACAAAGCAGTGATTTAAGGCAAAGGAAACAATCTAATGGGTATAGAGGGAATTTTGTTCCAGTATTATTTGAAGCAAAGAACACATTTAAATGGAATATCTGAAAAAGAATAAAAAATGTATATATTAAATCCCTTTCTAATGCATTTTAAAAAGGAAACTTTAAAAAAAAATTATCAAAGGGTATGAGATTAACTTTTCTACTTTCTATGGTTTTTATTTATTCTTTTGTAGATTCTATATTTAAAATTTTTCTCAAATGACATGTCTTAAGTTTTAGAAAGTGGATTTCTTTCAAACTGTGTTTTACAAATCAAATTCCTTTCGGTTCTGGGGGCGGGGCTTCCCTCAGGAGGGAGGAGCTAAGACAGATTTCTATTGGTCTGCTGGACGTTAGCAAAATCTAAAATCTGTAAAAAATATTCTTTTAGAAATATTTGAAAAAGTATCATATCCAAACAAAACTACATGTAAAAAATATAATTTTTGAAAAACAAGGCCACATTTTATGAGCACAGCAAACCTTTGATTACAATATTTCTCCGTTTCATTTCTGAATTGCATTTTTATTTTCTATTTTTTTTACAAACTACAACATAAAATTTATTTATTTTTGTAAAGTTTATTGACAAAACATGTTCTTAGCTTGCAACAATAATGAAACAATTCCCTCTATAGGCCTACAGGTTGTTTTTTTCCCAGGAAATTCCTGCTTTTCTCCCTGCATCCTCTCCTGATTGGTGACCTGCTTCTCTTCCCCTGCCAAACACATCCCACCCCCACAGCATGATGCTGCCACCTTCAATGGGCCAGTAAGTGCCAAATTTGTAAATAAATCCTAACTGTTTATTTTTGCTCTCATAATCTAACAAAAAACAAAAACAAAAAAAACAACAAAAGCCATAGAAGTTTATGGTTGTAACAAAGTGGGAGCGTTTAGGGATTATGGAGCCTCTTGGCAGGAGGTGTAGATGTAACTTCTCCTCTTTTGCATCATCCATGCCGTTAAAGCTAAAGCAACCAGTCTGCTCTCCAACCCACCAACAGACATCCTTCACCACCAGGACAGAGACGCCCCCACAGCCACCCAACACTCTAATACATCCAAAATGTTTGGCCTTTGGGATCTTGAAGCATAAACTGTTTTTTTCTCCATTTCCTTTTATTTATTTTCTATTTTTACTTCCAGATCTCTGGAATTTTTTTGCAGCTGTTCAAAATGCTGGCCAGCTCCATGTGTGGAATTCAGCACACTCGGACCACTGGGAGAGGTCAAAGGTTGAACAGGCCTTTAGGGTTGGTCAGATGATCAGATATGTGGCCTTAGTCCACCAAACTTTCCGTTTTCTACGCTAGTGAATAAAAAGCCACCCTCTGCTTGACCTGTGGGGGTCACAGACAGGATGGGGTCATTCAGAGGCCTTTTTTGAAAGCAACAACAGAGTAGAACCAGGAGAAGAGATGAAGATTATTGGAAGATTGCTGCGTCCCGCTGGTGTGTGATTTTTTATTTTGGGGTTTGTAAGTAAATAAAGCCATTTGTGTATATTTTCAATAACAGAGCAATGAAACTGGGCATGTGTGCAGGGGGTAAACAAGTAAGTAGCCTAATAAGCCAGTTAGCGTCTCCAAGGAAAATGTAGAAAAAATAAAGAAAAGTAAAAAAATCTAGTGTAAAATAAAACAAAACAAACAAAAAAACATTTGATTTCTTTGAATTCAAGAAGGATAAGCCTGGAACAGCGCTGAAAGAAACAGGAACAAGTTGAATCCTATTAACATCAAAAGAGAAGAAGTGGAGGTGGTGGAGGAGTAGAAATACCTTGGGATTCACCTTGACAACTAACTTCACTGGAGATGCAACTGTGAAGCCGTCTACAAGAAGGAACAGAGCAGACTGGACTTCCTAAGGCAGCTAAGGTCCTTCTGCTTTTGCAGCAAGATGCATCAAATCTTCTATCAGTCTGTTTGGGAGATTGATCTCTTCCAATTAATTAAAAATATTTGGGGGAGTGTTTGCTTAGTGGTTAGAGCAGTGTGTTTGTGTTCTCAGAAGGTTGCAAGTACCTGGTTCGATCCCCACAGCCTCCACTCTGGGTCCCTGAGCAAGACCCTTAACCCCACACTGCTCCCTAGGTGCCGCACGATGGCAGCCCACTGCTCCCCAAGGGGATGGGTTAAAGGGGAACACCGGCTACCATTCATTCTTCCTGTCCTCTGAACTGCTGCTAGTTTTCCTCACATGCCTGGAAGCTGTCTAGTGCTGCTACCACAGATGATCTCGCTCTCCAGATGGAATTGAACGATTAGATTAGCTAGAATGAATAGAAGGGGTAGAGCGTAGCCGCATGTGGCCCGGGCTGCCTGGCACTACTCCAGTCCGGCGTGCGGATGATGTCATACACACTCCACTTTGTTTGTTTTTTTAAATATAACTGTGGATGTCAGGGGGACAGTGATTGGCCTCCATGTTCTGAATGCTGGCGTACCATAAAGAATAAATGATGAACAGTTTAGTTTGTGCCTTCAAGTCGTTGCCCATAGGAAGACGTTACTTGGATATAACCTAACGGAATATCTTCAGAACGGCTCCAAATGACGCAAAACTCATATGGGTGAGTAGAACATGATGGAATAACGTAAAATCAAGGAACCAATGTAAAAAACAGTGTTCCCCTTTAAATGCAGAGGTAAATTTCTACAATGTGAGATCAATAAAGTTGAGAGAGCTAATGTCTTAAAAGAACTCAACAAGCTAATAAAGATGGCAGACTTTGTTTTAGGAACTCCTCTAGACTCCACTGGACTTTTTTTTCCAAGTTTGAAGACGTTTCGCTTCCCATCCAGGAAGCTCTTTCAATTCAAAATATTAGAAATAGTGTTAATTTCCAGGCTTTAGAGAGTGGACCAAAAACAAAGCCTTGTTTTGACTTGGAAAACATTCAACACTATTTCTGACATTTTGAGTTGAAAAAGCTTCCTGCATGGAGAGCGTTACGTCTTCAAACTTGGAAACAAAGTCCAGTGGACAGTTTTTTTAACAGTTTTGGGATGACTGTGACCTGGATGACTGAGAATCATCACCAGGAACTCCTCTAGAGCCTCTGGTGACTATTTCAACAAGAGAATTCTTCATAAAGTGAAGAAAACTATGCCCAGCAGTGAACATCCTCTTCAGAAGATTTTTAAACAATAGAATGTCGTCAGTCTCTACAGTCCAAGTTCATTATAAACAGATCGCATCAAGGATGAAACCAGTCAGGTATCCCATCTGTGTGCCTGTTTGAATTTGCTAGAATATTTTTTTTTTGTTTCAGATTAGATGCTGTGGGTAAGATTCACTAGAACAGAGTTGCTGTAGATCGGTTTATTTAATCCATATCTGTTGGTCTGTACTGTGAGGCATTGCAGGAGGGCCGACCTGTAGTCGCAATTCAGCTTTCTGAGAGGTCCACAGTACTGCCAGCAGATGGCCCCAAGTCTGTCTATGTCAGCTCATGGTGTCCTGTGCTGAAACTCTATTTAGGCTCAAAAAGGACAATCTAAACACCACCAGTACGAACCGTTGGTGTACATAACCTTATTCTTTTTTATATAATGGGAATTTTCCCCTTTTTAAAGAAGGGAAGTGTCCAGGAAAACGGCTGCCACAAGAACACTTCATTGGATTAAATGTTAATAAGGTTAAAATATTTAAATGTTAATAAGGTTAAAACATCTAAAGAGGACAGAAAATAATAAGAAGCAGGATGGAACTGTAATTAGTACTGGTGCTTGGCAGCTGGTTTAAATCACAGCTCCGCTCTCTCTGCATGTTCTCCCCATGCACGCATGGCTTCTCCCCGGGTACTCCGGCTTAGAGTCCTGCACGGGTCGAGTTTTACCAACCCACACCCGCCCGAACCCGTTAGGATGACTACCGAACCCGACCCGTCACCCGCGGATATCTTCAATTCAAATCCAAACCCGACCCGTTGATATTTAACCCGCAACCCGACCCGTTAACACATCAAGTAATAGGCTATAGTACACTGCGCTGCAGAACAGCGCCATTAACACTGCAGCAGACATGTATGCACTGACTGTGGCCTTTTTGGAGGGAAGTCCCCACACTGCCCGCAGGGCTTTAAGCTACAACAAGGGTGACCTCAGTGCCTGATTAATATAACATTTCTGATGTCCATAACAACACACACGCATAAAAAAAATTACCAACTACCCGCACGCACTAAAAAAAATATCCGCCCGACCCCGCGTACCCGTTTATTTTTATTTATGTATTTTTCAGCCGCAAAAGAGCATTTTAGCGGGTGACCCTTCTGGGACCCGCAGGTACCCGACCCGTTGCAGGACTCTACTCCGGCTTACCTGCACTAAGCATGATTTAGGTGCATTTGATTCTCTCTGTATCCAAGTGTTGCCCCGTAATGAGAAGTGAACCTTTCCTCACACACTTACAGATCAAGATGCACACCAGCTAGTCCAAAACCTAACAACTAGAATTGAGTTAATCTTAATCCCAATAATAGCTCTTTAGTGTTCTTGGCTAGATTATTCTGTGCAAATGACTTTTTAATAGGGCTCAAAGATACACATGAGTACTGGATGAAGCCCATAAGCCAAACCCAAACCTGCATGAAGTCTGGACACAGCTGGGTTAACATATTACGCCACAGAGGGTTGTTTTCACTCAGCAGTTCATTAATTATACAGGTTGCACTTGCATTTCCTGGCAAAACTAAAAAACCACCAGTCATTTCTGTATTTCAGAGGACTGACACGTTGCTTTGTACTGAGCCTTTCAAAGTTGGATGACTTTTATATTTCAGGAGGGTTTTTAAAGGTAAATCTAAGCAAAGGGAATAACTGTAAAAAATAACGCTACAATGTCATTGAAAAAACTAAATCAAGATTTAGAGAAAAAAGTTGCTTCCTCATAAACTCTTAAAGTCTTCTTGCAGTGAAACTGGCTCGGTGAGTTCCATACATCTCTCTTCATGCTGATAAAGTTCTTCTTTCCAGCTCGGCTGAGAGTTGGAGATTAATTCACAGCAGTGAAGGAGAAACATCAGCGACTGTTTCGCTGCAGGAAATGTTCTGAGGCAGTCAAACGTCTGCAAGGCGTTTCATTCCCAGCTTTCTTGGACACCCTCTCTAAAGAGAATGTCATGATATTGTGATTCCCGTTTTGGGAATGGGTAAAGCCTGGGATAAAACAGCACTTTGAAAACAGCAGACGCTAAGCCAAAGTCAAGAATGATCGGCGGTGGAGTTGGGAGTCATATTTGTACGGAACAATTCTCATGGCTCGGCTGTTTGCTCAACGACACAGTTGGAGGAACATAATCTCCCATTAGGCGATACCAAATCCCTTAAACACACACAACAAATCCCGCTGACCAAACATTACACACCTCATCTTGAGGCCTGCTGGACAGTGGCAAAGACCAGCCGAACGATGAAACACACACAATGGACCCAGACCACACACTTTGTAGGGAAGTTTCCGGACTTGAAGCCTGTAGGACCTCTCTGATCACAAGCCAATTTAAACTTAAAATCCAGATCTATAAATCTGCAACAAATCATTACTCTAGAGACTTTATATTATATATATAGGAATTGTTTTTGTGCTTTATTTGTCTGTTAATGGTTTTGAGACAGCTAACCATATTAGTGCTTCTATCATTTTGGAAACTGTAGAATCTTTAAGCTGAGTTTCAGGCTATTGATAACCCTGAAGCTTCCTTATAAAGATGGCAGTTTCCTGCGCTGATATCAGTAACAGCAGCATCATCCAGAAGAGTTGTTTGAAGGGATTCCTTCTCATTTACGTTTTAATTTATAAATAGTAGAGATGCACCGAGAAATCAGAAAATTGTCCCTGAATGCAACACAGAAGAATTTAAATACAGGTTTTGGATCTGTAAACATTAAAACTCTACCAGGCTGCACTAAAAATAACAACAGTCTTCAGTGTGAAGGCCGCTACTGAGGGAAGAATTTTCGCATTTATCGCGTTTTATTAGCTGCATTGTGTTTAGAATGAAGTAAAAGAGATTTGAGCTGTTTGTCCAAAACCAGACCTCTATTTTGAAGGCATCTCTGCGTCGGATTTAGACTCAAGAAGAGCAGAACTACTGCAGATAACAGGAAGGCTGAACAGAGTTTCACCCATCTTCTATCACTTAGGGGGAACATCCCAATTTGGAAAACAACGGCAGCCTCCTGGAAATCTAACCTAAGGATCTACATTATCTAAAGACAGAGGTTGGTAGTAACTAGTTACATTTACTTTAGTAACTTTGAATGAAAATATAAAGTATCATCACTCTTATTTGGGTAACATTTCTGGCAACTCTACTCATCATGAGAAGCTTGTATTAAGCCAAAATAACCAGAGGGACACAGATGGAGTTCATGCTTTAGTCAAACTTCTGTTTTCTATGCAAGTTTCATTAATTATTTTTTTTTTTTAATCTTCTGATCCTGCTTTAATATTTGGAGGTCAAAGGAAAATCCAGAATAGGATAAGCTACTTCCACTAACCAGATACAGCATACTATTTACTAACGAACTAAACTTTAAGTAACCTTTAAGTCTTGATTTCGTATATTTTATAACCGAAAATATTCTTTGAACAGTGTTTATTCAACCTGGAATCATAATTGTGTATAATTGCTGTATTTTATACCATTATTTTCTTTTTATCTTATTTTTTTAATCACCAAAATTTGCAAATAACTTCATATTTAATGTAACTTATCATCAATAAAAAAATATTATGATCATGAATAGCAAGTAGATCAGTTACTCAGTCCTTATTTAGTCCTTTTATCAGACAAGTTTTAAATCTTTTTCAGAATAATTCTTGGTACTCTACCCGCCTCTAAACTGAAAAAACAGGTTCTAAAGATTTATTTTTGCAACTGTTTTGCAACGACTCTTCTCTAAAGCAGAATGTTGGGGAGTATTACGGACTTAATTCAGGATAAAACACAATAAAAATAATGTCTAAAATATTAATTTTACACACTGGACACTGTCCAGAATCCAATATTAAAGACTAATATCTGCCAGAAATAAATAAAAATAAAATTCCTTTTCAATAATTACATAAATGAGCAAGAATTACACCTAAAATACTATTTTACGCTTTTTAGTTAAGCAGTAGCAGCAAAGCAATTTTTTTAAGGTTTCTAAATAGTCTTCTAGCATTTAATAGTTAACTTTAGTAAACTCAGATTCAGGTATTTTTCCAGGTCTGGACTCGCCATCTCAGACCAGGACGTTAGATTAAGCCTCTGTCACATGCCTTATGTCCCAGAGTCTCCTAAAACAAAAACACGGCCATACGCTGAACCTTCTATGAATTTTTTCAAATTTGGGCGTATACATAAGAGTATTCATAATGAGTCTAGGATTATAAAATAATGGCTTTAATATCTTAAAAGTATCTTTTTTAAAGAGATCAAAAGAAAATGATTTCCTATAGCAAATTGATGACCTTTCGACATTAGGAAATAGTTTTGTTTGTAGATCTATGAATATAACAGACATTTCTACATTTTTGGTAGAATTTAGTCATGTGTGACATTGTTTTAATGAATTATTGATCACCGATGTTGGAGAAAACTAGAAGAAAAGCATCATGTTATTGCTTCCTGTCATATTAAAGTCCTTGGAAAGAAATAGAAGTTGAAAAAATACCTGTATAAGCAAGTAAAAGCTTAAAAACCCCCAAACAAAACAAAAACCTATGGGAAACAAACCCTAAATTGGACACGGTGCATCCCTAATCAACAAGGACCAGTATTATAAGGTATCCTTTCAAACATCTTAGTAGCACAATGAACTGGAGCAGGTTGCCTCTAAAGTCGGTCTGGTTCACTAAGAGCAGGCGGGTGTGGACAGCCGGGAGACACCAAGACCAGAACTTGCACTAAAATCCCACTGAAGCACGACACACCCATGAACACAGACGTACACAAACAAACTGGCATCATACTGACCAGCTCAGTCTCATAGCAATTGTCCCAGTGGAGTTTGTGGGGTCTCTTAGTCATCTGGAAGCAAGGCAAAGTGGATTAAAACAAAACTAACAATTTGACTGAGAAAAACTGCGTCACGTAAAAGAAATCGCTGCAGGTCTAAAGCAGAGACAGCTGGCAGGGAAGCAACATTAAATGTGATGCTGATCTTGAACACACCTTAAATCTGCACAAACTCAGACAGATTACAGATTACACATACACGGTTAATTATATATGTTTAAATCCACTAGTTTATGATCAATTACTTATGATCTCATCTGTGAGCTTCTAATATCCCCATTGTTACCCATATTTATCAATATTTTTTCCTGCTTCAGTTTTCTAATTGAGGGATAAAATGCTGTGTTCTAATTGAGGGATAAAATGCTGCATTTTAAGTCAGAGGGTTGGATATTTGGTGGGCCACAGGATGGATGCAAATTCATAAATAAAAATAAAAAAATTATAAAAACTGAAAATAATGTATTTAAACTAAACTCCTGACACCTGACCTCTATCAGATCCCCTTTGGCCCAAAATATTGCAAACCAATGCAGATCAATAATAATCTAATCCAGGATAGCTTTGCTTCGAACAGAGCATGTAGAGGAATATTAAAATCATTTTGTGGGTCAATTTTTACATGAAGGTCATAGAAATTTTCATCCATTTTCATGAAGGCAAAGGTTACTAAAATGTTTGGAGTCCAGCTCATTTTAGACTCGCAATTCAATGTTAGCAGATCAGCTTGGCCCATTCTATGACGTTTTTATACGTTTTTCTACAGGAAGACCTTGGAGGACAAGGCCCCAGCTGTTTAAAATGCATTTTATTTTCTTTTTCTGCAAGCATAAAACCTGAGAAAACCTCAATAAAAAAACAAAACAAATTACAATGCAGTTGTCTTCAGCTACCTTCATATTCTATAACCAGACAACCCTGTAAGAAAGGCAGGATGTCTGAAAGCTTTTTTAAAAATCCTGTTTCAGAGCAGAGCAATGAAACTCCAGCTGCCTTCTTAATATGGAGAGAAATATGTTCCAAAATTAATGAAAGAAAAGAATTCCTTTCAAAAAATGAAATTTAAAGAAAAAGTATCATAGAAATATAATTCCTTACAAACTTCTCAATTTTAAAGGAATTTGGAGTAATTGATAACCTTCAGACTTTAATTTTTTCTAATTTTGAAGACTGCATTCTTTTCAAAATCCACTACTTCTGTTGATCTGTGTGCAGACCAATAGAAATGCTGTTACTAATATCCAAGTAAAGCAGACCCATTTCTATTGGTCTGAGCACAGAACAACGGCAAGTGTAAATCTGTAAAACACAATTAAAAATTAATGCAATTTAAAGAACTCAGTCCTCCCCAACCTAAAAAATGAAATAATAAAATAAAAAATAAAAAAGTGTAAACTTAAAATATTGGTTGAACTTTTGAATATACATTATTAGTTACTCTCAAATCATTTTACTTTCAATTGAGAAGTTTCTAAAGGTTCCATTTTTGAAACTTATATTCTTCATATTTCCTTTTCTAAAACATGCTTATGGTTTCATAATATTGGAACAGATTTCTCCCCATACTTTTAGTGACCCAAACAGAGACACCTCCATAGATTCTGTTCTTAGATAAACCCTTAAAGTGTTTCTATTCAGTTAATCCAAAAGTGAAATACCAAAATGTTTTGTATTTATTCGTGGTCCTAAAAGAGAAATAGGATGGTTGGGGGTCAGTTTTTTGATATTAGGGAGTTTGAATCAGCCTCAAAAATGCCGATCTTCAATTTACCCCACAGTGTTTATTTCCTAGCAAAATGGTGAATAAACAAACTCAAATTGAGGAGCTTGGGTAGTAAAACAGCTGGAATATTCATTAGTGATTTAACTGACTCCATTTAATCTAGTGGTGGGGGGCGTGCGCATCGTCACAAACACGCTGTGAGAAGAGAGCGCTCAGTAGAAACACTAGTTTCTTCACCTTTTTTCCGGTTCGATTTTCCCCAAAGAAAGCAAGCGAAAGCATGTGACCTCTGGCACATTCTACACACGACCGAATCGGCAGCAGACTGACTTTACAGTTTTCCTGTTGCCATGGAAACAGGGCTGGGTAAATGCATAAAAAGAAAGTGGTGGGGGTCGTTGTTTTTGTTGTTGTGGGGATTAAAAGGGGGATCAAGGGGGAACCAAATTATGTTTTTTAAATGAAATAGATGGAAATAGATGGACATGAACTGAGGAAAGCGATTTTATCCTCTTATCTGACTCCTTAGAGCAATGCTGTGCTATGGGGGTGGGGGGGTGAATCCTCACGCATCAGTTGAAAGCTAACACAGATGTATCTTTATAGATGCACACGTATGTAGGATGCAGCATTCTGGCACATGCATAACAACATATGTACAAACACACACACAGACACACACGTGGTCCCAGTTTAAGGAGACTGGAACCAGAACTTGTGGGCGACGATGAGACTCGCTGCACTAAATGAGGAAACAGGAGTCACCAGAGAGAAAGTCTGCTGTGTTTCATTTAATAATGTCAAACCATGAAAGTCCTGCAGTGATTTATTTTCTTTCTGCCGTATCTGTTGTGTGTTTGTGGGAGTCTGTGCGGCGGCTGACCTGGTTAAGGTAGTGGTACTCCTCTGGTTTGAGCAGGTGGAATGCCTTCCTCTCCTCTTCACTGGCTCCAGCCAGCAGGTAGTAAAACACGTGATAGTTCCTGCAGGCGGTTAGAGAACATCACATCAGATGACATCTCACTGCTGTTGATGTTTAGCATGACTAAAATAGGAGAGATTTCGTGTTAAATAATTAGCAGTAAGATTTAAAGGAGTGGCGGAAAATCCTTCATTCTTCATGTGTCATTATAAGCGCTATCATTCTTGACTTTGCAGCCTCTAATTTGAAGTCCAACAAGGCGCTGCAGTGTTTGCAGGTAGGAGGTAATGGAAAGGTTGGATTCAGTGCAATGAGATGTAATTCTGCTACAGATGGAGACGAGCTTCCTGCATCCTTCCCTTCAGCCTAAGAAGCATTTTCTACACTTTATGTAAAGTCCAAATATCTTCAATATCATAAATCAAAATAATCCTTTATTTTTGATGGCCTTTATTTTAAAATGGTAACTACCCTCAGACGTTGGAGTTAACTCTTTTTTTTTTGTTTTGTTATCAACTTGCCAATCAGCTAATAATTACTAACTAACAGAGATCTGAGGAAAAAACAAACATTATAACTCTGTGATCTAATGTTGCACCGAGCTGTATTTGATTCTACTTTTAAATTATTTATTTTTTAAGATTGAGAATATAAGCTCTCCCAACCATGAGTTGACTGAACCATGAGATGCAGCAGTGAGACCATAAACGGCTAATATTGCACGTAAAAAAAATGGCGTTCCCCTTTAAACTTTGTTTAGCTCTCCTACAGATGAGCCATTTCCCCAGACATGGCGTCATGCGGCGACATCAAGAAATGCGGGGTGATGCGTTGAAGGCAAGTGTACCTCCTCCAGGTTGGAAGAAAACAACAAATAGGCCATGACAAATAAATACTCCATGGTGCCAAAAGCAATATCTCATTCATCAAACATATGCCTTTAAAAAAAAAAGAAAAAAAAAAAGATAAATGCTAAACTGTACCCGTTTTCCCAAGATGCCAATGTTGGCTTAGAAAACTTTTTAACGAATAAAAATCAGCCAATTCAGTGTTAGTTGTATCTACTCTGTTTAGTCTCATCAGATACTGAAAAGAATTTGTTGATTTGAGACATTTATAGGTCAAAAGGATCATATGATCAATCAATCATAGCTTTCAACAGCTGCTCAGGAGCTGTGGTCCACCTCCATCGTTTGCTGCCATTTCTCCACAGGACAACACCTGGAGCTGCTAGATGCAAGCAGACCCTTTATCTCTGAACACTGTGATGTTTTTGGACCAGTTTGGTTCAGTTTGGATGGCAGCCAGAGTTCTGATACTTTCCCTCCCCAGTGTTTCTTCTCTCTGCACAATGGGGTCACTCAGAGGAAAGCTGTCATGGACTTAAGATTTAAGACAGTTTGCAGTTTATCAACACATGGCTTTCCCTCCTCTATCTCTCTGTTACAGGCCTGAGGAGTGTGGGAGGTCCCGCCTCTGGTTCCTACCCTATCAATATGGCTGCTAGGACCTGTCATCAGGGAGAAACCCAAAATCAAGCTCTGTCTGCGTTAGAGGGATTTGTTGGCAGTTGGTAAAACATGAACATGAGGCTGAATTTCCCGAAGGAGAGCTGAGCTTTACTTTAAACTTCTGGACTGCTGAGAGGAACGGGCGCCACAGAGGTTGCGTCATGGTGTTGTCCGGATGAAAAATGAAGGATGTGAGCGCAGGTGGAGTCTGATATGCTCAGAGCGTTGGAGGCCAGTAATTTACCCCGAAACAAGGATGTTTCAGTGTGATCAATGTAGAAAAACCTTACAGGAAACAAAGAAGGTTGTTTCATTGAAGCTAACCTAAATATTAAACATAACTATCTCTTCGCAACCTGCAAACAGCCTTTGCTTTTTTTTTTTTTTATTTATCCAGATGCTAGCTTTAATTACACTCAGTTATGTAATGAGAGGAAACAAATGATGGGAATGAAAAATAAAACAAGTCCAACTCCTTTAAATCTTTACCCTAGCACTGCTATAGCCATGCTCAAATCCCTCTGCGATGACATTCTCCGCCTACTGGCAGCCAGCAGGTATTACAGTATCTCTGACTGGCATTCCAGTGGCTGTTTGGATGCAAATTTTTAGTTTTAATTCATTGTATTATGGGAACATTTTTATCAGGGGCAGCAAAGCTAAGATTTAAGTGAAATGCCAACAGTAATTGCCATCGCTTAGATGAGTTTCCCGATGCGTTTCCATGGTTACTGTACACAAAGCCCAAGACGTCAGTTTGTTATGCAACGATAAGACACTTAAGTCCAGATCACACTAAATCCGATTTTGCGTCCAATTAGACAGAAAATAGTCTCTGACGAGGTCATGCCATTTAGCGCTCACTGAAAGTGAATAGGGACGATCGCATTCAACACGACTTTATGCACGGGGGCTTGCGTAGTTCCGATTGAGATAGATCTCAGGTCTATGTAAGTCAGACCATTCAGTCGCAATTTCATGGGTCTGACAGGAAGAGAGACGCGGTTACAAAGTAACATGGATCCTCTTTGGGTGAAAATACAAAATAAAATCAGTTAATTGCACAGGAAAAAAGACAGTTTTCGAGTCACATAAACCATATCAGAACAGACTTGTGCAAAAACAATCAATGAAACATAAATACGGTGTCACAGTTATTTCAAAACTCCCGCAAGAAAAATAAACATACTTGCATGTATGTTAAACTACTTCTATGCATGGTTTATCTACCATTGCGCAACAAAATCACACATGCACGAAAAAACTGCGGCTCCGGGAGGAGAAAATCGCTCTACGCACACACCAGCTCCTCCCACACGCACTTTGGATCTCAGCGCACGCGCAATTTTCTATCCAGTGGACACGCTTGAGAATGGCTGCCCTCTGGAAAGCGTCTCGATAAGTGGGGCTTTGCTTTATAGAATATGCCGGGTTTTTATTTTATTTTTTCAATAACTTTTCATAATCTGTCCAAGTCAAATGTGGGAAATAGTTTTAATATATACAGAAGTGGAAGAAATGTGCACAGATCTGCTGCCCTGTCTAGTCGGAGCCTCTCTATACGCAGTCGGTGTGACATGGGAAAAAAATCGGATCGGAGAAAAAAAAAAGTTGTACACAACCGGAGTGTTCAGGCATCAGGCCTAATACGTTTTTTTTTTTTTTTTTTACTTTTGACATGTAAGAAATTTCTTTGGAAAAAAAAGGGGAATTTCAGATGTATTTGTCATTTTTTTTTCCTCGACGAGGAAGTCTGGTAAAAATGCACATCTTCAAAGTAAAGTTCAATAATCCTAAAGACTAGTCAGAAAAAGATTTCATCACATTAATTACAGCAGCTTCATTCTGCAAATCAGTCAACCCAATGAAGAGGAGGAGGACGGATGATGATGGTCTCACCTCTCATTGTGCTCCTGGTACACCAGCCGTGATTTCTCCAACAGATACTTCTCCACATACGCGCTGAAAAGAAACAAAGTCATGTTTAACAGTCTTTAGATAAAGCTGATGCTGATGATGATGTGATGGGAGATGAAGCTTAGGATGAAGGAATGGATAGACAGTGGACTCAGACACCAGGCTGGTCTCTAACTACTCATCCATAAATACAGGGAATGGGGAAAAGTCCCTGAATTATGGGATTAAATTGTTTCAACTTTATTTCATCTGTCTTTTCAGGTTTTGTTCAATGTTCAATAAGAAATGTTTACTACAACAGTAAAAAAAGCTCAACTTCATCCTGCTTTTTTCATATCAATGCAACAAACTTAAAAGTACATTATGTAGATTGTACGTGCCGGATGCGGGTGCCGTAAAAAGAGATGCTTTGAAATATTTCTACAAGAGTAAATCAGAAAAGTAAAGCATTCATTTGTCTTTTTTAATTAATCAGAAGATGCTTTGCACTGAGACTCGTTTGTCAAATTAAAAGTTTCTTTAAGGAGGACCTTTAATGTACTTTTTCTGAAACTCACTTCTGGATTAAAAAATATAAATCTAATGATATAATCTTAAATATGTTTTTTATTTAGATTCATTTGGTAAAATCTTCTAAATGACACTAAAAATGCAGGTCAGTCTATTAGTAATTGATCCTTGTAAATTGTTTTACTTATTATATGGAGTTACTGAATAAATTAAATTTTGAATGATAATCCGATTTATTGAAAATGACTATTCAGTCCCCCATGGTGAATACTTTCTATGATCATATTTTACTGCAGTTATAACCAAGAGCATTTCTGTTTTTTTTTTCTTGCCATCTATTTGAAATTATTGCTTGTTTTTTCAGTTGTGCCAAGTTGCTCATCGTTGTCTTTTTTTTTAGCGAGAGCTGCTTTCAAGTCCTGCCCTGATCCTAAGTTTAGTTCATGTCCCTAATAAGGCCAAACAAAGATATAGCCCTGTTTGGAACCAGACCATTCCCTGTCCCTGTCCCTGCATCCCCACATCATGATGCTGCCACCACCATGCATCATCATAAGCCCACTTGTATAAAAAAAAAGTGTTTTTGTACAAGGCCGACACATTTTAGCCAAGTCGTTGTGGTTTGTAAAATCCTGTAGTGAGAAAGGGGGTAAAAGGTCTGCCCCACTCTGTTACCTACTGACCCGCCAAGCCAAGCAATTTCAGGACTACATGGGCTGAGTTGTAAACGGACAAGCGGCTTACTGGGTAAGGGGGGGTGGGGCTGGGTTGAATGAAAGAAAGAAAAACAGAAATAAAGAAGAAAAGAACTAACAACAAAAAGGAAGAGAAAGATAGACAGTGTGTGGTGGGTTTGACGTGCATCTGTAGTTTCCATCTTTCTTGTCATCGGGAGCAGAGCTCCTCCTCCTACATGTATGCAGTGTTTCTGACGTGGCTCCCGAAAATATTTATCTGGGATCTGTTCTTCCTTTCTGTTACCAAATGCTTTGTTCTTGCTTCTTTTGATGAAAGACCAGATTGCAGAATTTTTCACTAAATGCGTTAGCCGAGCCACCTGAGCTGTGAATATCTACAGCTACTCCAGAGAAACCATGGGCCTCTAGGCTTCTTTACCCATTAGTCGCTCCACAAAGCTACAAATGCATAAACATTTAAAACTTTCCAACAATAAATCAGTTTCCTTCTGGTTAATAATTACAGTAGCAGCCATTCAAAATGGCCCTTCCTAGTTAAACACCAGCCAAATGGCAGCAGACTGCCCTGCAACTCCCAGCAAAATCCACTCCCAACTTCCAGCCACTGGAGTGACCCCCCCTCTTAAATATTTTTTTACTCTGACCAGGAGATGAAGCTTCTATTTAGATCTTAATGTCTACAAATAATGACAGAAAAATTTTTAAGTACAAAGATTGATGTTTAAAAAGGAATTGTAAGGGACCAGCCAAGGACCCAGCAAGGAAAGTGGGGACATTTGAATGCTACTACTGTACTCCCAGTCCTGGGTTTTTTGTACAGAGAAAAATTAGGTATTAACTGTAAAGAGGGTAGATAACTCTATAGGATATTCAGTAAATTCAAAAGTAAAGTGGAGGATGTTCTTTTTCCGGGTGGATCATCAAAATAAGTGGTCCTCAATCGTGCTTTGGTGGTGCAGTGGTTAGGGCACACCACCCATGCATGGAGGCCTTAAGGGCTGCTTATACTCCTGCAGCAGTGTGTCGCAGTGAGCTTGTCGCAGGAATGGTGCAGACATTTTTAATTTTTTTCTCAAAATTGAAGTGTGGTCTGTGTTAATTTTAAGAATTTTTTTAGGAATTTTAGGGGACCGGCCAGGTCCCATCAAGGAAAGTGGGGAAATTTTGATTGGCTATAACTGTATGATCTACTTTGTTTTGGTCGATCACCACAAACTCATGATAAAAAGCATTTTTCAGATCTGCTGTTCCACTCTTACCCCCTGACGGTGCCACTCTCCTGGTAGTTGACCTGGATGAACTTTCCAAAGCGGCTGGAGTTGTTGTTATGAGCCGTCTTAGCGTTACCAAAAGCCTGCAGAGAAACAAAAAAAATGACTTCATGAGATGCAGCCAAAGATGTCAAAGTACCAGCATTGCTTTTTACATCCTTTCTTCCTTAAATAAATTCAATAAAACAGGAGAGAATCTCTTTAAACTCTTAATCACACATTTAAGTCCTCAGAGTTGGGAATTTGTCTGGACAAAAGCGAAAGGCTACCCATCACTGCCCTCCATGAGAGGTCAGGAGGCGCATAGAGGGGCCCAAACTCACACACACACACACCACAGCACTGGGACAAGCTCACACTCAGACACGCCAACCGTGAGCTGAGCTGCCAAATTCCTGTGAAGGCAAACGGAGCGCGGCTGCAAACAGACACAACCGCTACTTATGGGGGCCTGTGGGCATTTCTGCTGCAACATAGACTTACAGAGGGAGCCCCTCATTAGGGGCCCCTTGGGGACTCATTGGTGTTCTCATTAGGAGCATGATGGGGTGCAGTGGGGTGAGCTGGTTGGATAAAGATACAAGAGACGATGACAAGAGAAAGAAACTGAGGAAGTGAGAAAAAAGGGGGAGGGAAAAATATCTTCAGGGTTTAAATAAGAGGGAGGAAAACAAAAAAGGATGATACCAAAGATTAGAGGGAGGTAATTAGGGCAGGAATGGAGCTGGAAAAACATCACCATTAAAGGACAATCAACAAAGTACAGAGGAGGGAGTGTGAAGTAAAAAAAAAAAACAAGTAAAGAAACTGCAGAACATGGAAGAACAAATATAAAGGTGAGATCAGATGAGATTTAAACTATTGGACCTTTAACAGGAAGACAAGCTTTTTCACATCAAAATCTGCAGATGCAGCAATGGTGCATCATGAAGCTGTCATAAAAGCTTAGATAAATCATTTGTACCAACAAACGGCGCAGCTGTACATAGAGCTGCACCACTGACTGAAGAAGAAGCAGGTGACAGAAAGGAGACGGCAGGAAGTCCTGATGAGTTAAAACTAAACCTCAGTAGAAACAGGACAATCCTGCTGCTTTTTCCATTTTGGGCGCAGACACAGAGTAACCATAACGAGTCCAGAGCTTATGCCCAACGACAGCCTAACTTATGCATAACGCATGCACAGCAACATAAATGCAGGGAGGATCCATCACACCCACCTTGTGTCTCACCCCATTGTGGGGATGCTGTCTAGAGGAGAACTAATATTACCTCCTGTGAAACCACTTTTATACCAAAACGCTGCCAATACGCCATTAAATGGTAGCTGGAAGTTAGAAACGTGTTCAGCGGTTGTCTGAAACACGTCAAGAGAAGTTCTTGCTAAAGTTACGCATAAGTTATGCACACGTTACTCAGAGGTTTTGGATAAGCTAGACGGCACGACTTTTGAGTAACTTAAACTTAACGTTTGACCTACTTTTGTTTTGTGGTATTGCATTAATTAGAGGGTCAACCCGGTTCTGATGTTACCACTGTATGCCGATCTGACCTGAGCCATTTAAAACATAAAGTTTCCCATTGCTTTGTTCATACAGTTTAAAGTAAAGATGCCCAGATTAGTAATTCTGGGCTGATATTCGATGTCAATGCTGCTGAAATCGCTGATAATCAATATCTACTGAGATTCTATACGTTCTTTTCGTTAATCGAGTTAATTTCTCTGCTTCAGTTCAATGGCCACCTTTCCTGTGCTGCATCAGTAACTGCGTTTACCTGCACAAAATTTCATGGTAAGACTGAAGACTGAAAAACAAAAAATAATCAGATTGTACCATTTAAAAAGTAATACATTGAAATAATAAAACAGTAAAACTGCAGATGTGTGAATTGGAATATTCATCTATCCACTCAGCTCAGCCGCATTCAGAATAACTTGATCCTGAAAAGCATTTAACTTCATGCTGATCGAACCGTCAGTCGGCTTAAGCCCATAATCAGCATAATCCCAGTCTGATGGCAAATTCATTCTGATCAAAATATTCAAACTGGCATGTTTGAACGACTCGTTTTCAGTCAGATCTACGATTGTTCCGATTATTTGTGTTCATGTAAACGTAGCTAGTGCCCTCGGCCGACCCCGTCGCTTAACTTATTAAACTAAAGCAGATATTTTAGAGAAGTGACCTTTATGCAAATTCATTAAATCACAGAGTAATGTATCTCTGGCTGCTCTTCCACCTGCTACTGTTCAGCTGGATGAAAGATGTTGACTCTTTCCCATCACTTCAAGGAAGACAAGTTCATCAGTAAGAAAATATTCAATTATCAAAATTTTTTTTTCTCTTTCATTATAAATGCAAATATATCAGGACAGTTTAGTGTAAACACTGCAACGTCCAAAGCTTTTTCGTTGTTGTTCTTTTTCATATCAATATCTAAGCAAAGGGAACAGAAATACTGATCCCCTCCATTTAAACTTATTACTTCTAAATATATATATTCCAAAAAGTAAAAAAAAAAAAAAAAAACGATCCACTGGACTTGGTTTCCAAGTTTGAAGGCGTTTCGCTTCCCATCCAGGAAGCTGTTTCAATTCAAACTGTCAGAATTAGCATCGAGTTTGAAGCTTTATAAAGTAGCCCAAAAACTTAGAAAACTTGTAATTGAACCAGAAGAATGGGTCCACCCCTTAGGAAACATATAAGAACTTTTTGTGGCTAAATTTATCTAGATTTTAATAAAAATTTTAAGTAAAAAAATAAAAAATAAAAATTCTGCATTGATCAAACATTGGGCCTCATGGAAGTGAGTTCTCCTATTTCTAATCTTCTCTCAGGTACGAACTAATTTTCTGAGTCCTCCAGACAGATGTAGCATCCAGATGTGATTATTTCCATCTTTAGAAGATGATTGTCAAGAGGTAGGAAAAATCAGCAGCTTATTTCAGGGCTGACAATAGAAAAACAGCCATTTCTCTACATCTATAGCAAACCTTGACTTTCAGTTAGTCTAAAATCCCCAGTTCATGGACCAAAGGAGGAAGCTAGCGTAGCCTCCAGACAGAAATACACCAGCAAAGACGAGCTTTTAATCCAGAACCCTTTAATACTGCCATGCAACAGAGAAAAAAACCACTGAACAACTGAGCAGCATGCTCCCCAACAATGAGCCTTCAATTAAATATGTATAGTCAGTGATACATTGCCCTTAACCGGAGTCTTTTTACCACAAACTCCAAACCCTGTGACTCAAAACTGAAAAAAAGTTCTACTGTCAGCAGAAATCTCACCACCGTAACCACAGAGCCGTCAAATTACAAGATGGATTAAATGTTAGACAACGACTTCAAACAATTTCCAGAGGTATCAGCTCATAAAACACTTCTTTACGCCACAAGGCTGATTTTAATAACTTTATTTTTTAAGGACTGCTTAAAAAAAGACAATCTGCTCAAATCCTCCAGAACAGTCAGCAATAAAAACCTACAGACGGTTATTAGCTTAGTCCTGGATGGAGACAAGGTCAGCTCAGATGTTCCCCTCAGCCGACCTGATAGATGAGCCCAAAAACACAGAGAGAGATGCAGAATAATCAGGTCAATCAGAACCAGGATCTTACTAGACAGCTTCCTGGTCTTGAACAGCTGCAGCTCCATCAAATATCTGCAGGCAGTTTAACCAGAAAGGTTACAGTTGACTTTAATTTACACGTAGATCCTCCAGTTGATGTACTGTATGTGTGCAACGTGTAAAAACTTGCATTTATGAGTTAAAAACTCTTCCAAAGAAAAAGGTGAGAGGCGGTTTTTTTTTTGATGGGATATACATTAGAGAAACATACAGGAACAAGAATTGCCTAAAGGGTGCATGCTGATGGAAAAAATATCTCTGTCTCATTTAACAAGAACTTAAGATCCTTTGTTTTTCTGTGTAGCCAGCATTTATTTTATATCTTTCTTGCAAAGGAGAACAGATACAGTGGGGCCAATATTCCTGCCTGTTCTGGTCACACAGGGTTTCACCTACTAAGAAGCACAGGGAGAGACCCTAACAGACAACGGAGACAGTTTCTCACTAACTGTAGCATTCGTTGAAATAACTGAGACTAAAGGAGTCCAGCCTAAAAACAGCGTCTGAGGCATCAGTTAGAAAAGGAGCATCATTCAGGCTCGTCTAGCAGCTGCTCTGCTGGAGCCAATACTTTTAAAAATAATATTAATAATAATTAACAGAAGGGCCACAGTCATATTTCCTGTTATAAAATTCACCCTCAGTCTGAAAAAATGTTTCTTTTTATTTGTGTATAATCTGGGAGTGACACCTGATATTTTGGATTGTTTTGTTCATTTAAGCATAAAAAATGAATTCTTCAGTCTTCTAACCAGAAGGCTTAACTGCGTTGTGAAAACAAGCCTGTGTCCTAATATTTGTGTTCAGATTTCCTAATGACATCGTGCTAACACCCGTATTGGCCTGTGGGTTCCTCCACGCCGTCACAATATGTTAGCCTGTTGTTTCCTCCACAGCTGCAGAAAACTGCAGGCCAACATCCTCCCAGGAAGCCAGCGGTGCTCCAGCTGAGAGGACAGACGGCCCAGACAGAAAACAACCCTTTTTATTAGCATGGGAAGACGCTTCTCATAGAAACGCTTAGATTTGGATTTACTATTGTTAATCATCACCTGCTGATTAATTTCTCCGTTTCACCTTTTTTTCCTGTTAGGAATCAGGCCAGCTGCTTTGCATCTCTGCCCTCATTTTGCATCTTTGAGAACATCTGCTTGGCTCGCTGCCTTTAGGTTGCTACAGAGGCCTCACAGCAAATGTGAAGCGCTTTACAGGAGTATACTTTTTTATAAGGAAACAAGCTGCTCACTGATACCAGGGTACAAACGGTTAGAAAATCAGTTACAGTTTTGATTTTCCATGGTGCTGATGTTTATAAGATCATCACTCAATATAAAGAAGAGTAGCTATGGATAGAAATGAGAACAGACATAAAAATGAGGCACTCAGCATTTAAATTGTTTCAGTACGCACATAATTCTTTATTAAAAAGAAAAGTCCGGTCAGTAAGGAATA